GGGTTGGTGTTCAGATGCAACGTGCAGTTTCAGAGGGATGATATTAGAGCAGACAGTTGAGAGTCGAACACGGAGGGGCATTGGTGGTTTTAAAAAAAATATTGACGCATTAAAATGTTTTTAAAATTGACTTGCTTCACATTGAAATTCTTCGTTCAAGCCCTGGGATTGCAGGCAAGTTAGAAATGACCCCTTTCTGCAAATCTTGGTACTTATTGTCCGCTGGGATAGGCAGATCAAGTGGGTGGGCTTCAAAAATTTTAGCAAAATTTTTGGGTTCTCTGCCCGGTTTGCTGGGTGGGCGTGGCGTAGTCGGCCTCCTGCACCACAAGGGGGGGGGTATTTTTGCCCTCCCGGGGTTCCAGAGGCTTCCTTTGAGCCTCCAGGACGACGAAAATGGCCTCCCTGGGCTCCGGAGGCTATCTGGAAGCCAGAAACGGGCCCATTTCTGGCTGCCTCAGATTTCCAGGAGGCCCATTTTTTGCCCTCTCCTGCGCGCCCTATACATACCTGCATTCAAAACTGACTGCTAAGGGACACCTGGGAGGGGAGGGGGGGTGGGGCCAGCCAGGAGTGGGATTTGGGGGGTCTCCAAACTGCACAGAATCTTAGCTAGGGACTCTCCTGAACCCCTGGGAACCCCCAGCAGCCCACCCCTGGTTGATATCTATCTGTAAGGGAACATTGCTCTGGGCTGTGTGACACTTTGCTGAATATATTTGGCCTCCATAGAGGTTTTGGGAGGAGGAGCTGCAACCTGACACATTTTAGTAAAATCTATTCAGTAGGGAACATTTGGGTAGCAAAGAAAAGGGTATTTTTCCCCCCTAGAATTGCCTTCATAGGTACGGACCCGTTTCTCACCCTCAACAGTTTTACCAAGGCCTCCTTGATTATCTCTCCTGTGATTAGATACATTAATCCTGTGGTTAAAATACCATCCTGAGTCATTGAGAGTCAGGTGGCATGCAAACAATATACACATTTAATAAGTAACAATGCTCTTTATTTGCTGATATTTTTGAAGAATTGACAATTGCTCTTCTCATGAAAACCACTCTGAATGACAAGAAAAAAAAATCTTAAGTAAAACAATTTAAATGGATAAACTACATCAGTATTTCTTAATCCTGGTAAGTTGAAGATGTGGAGTTTTATTTATTTGTTTGTTTGTTTGTCAAAAGCTTGCAATATAACAGAAACAAGAATAAAAATAAAGTTTAAATACAAGAAATAGGAACTAATAATTGGGGACAATAAGACAGGGACGGTAGGCACGATTGTGCTGTTATGCACACCCCTTACAGACCTCTTAAGGAATGGGGTGAGGTCTTCAACTCCCAGAATTCCCCAGAAACTGCCTTGGCAAGCAAAAAGAGGTAAACTGAGATTAAATTTTCATCATGCTTCCATTCCACCCGATTAGATTCTTAAAAATTGGATTCCCTTCCCCACAAGATCCTTGCAACTTTTAGGATGATCTTGATTGACAAGGAAGAGTCTGAACAAATAATATGTGATGGACCTACAAACCAGGCAGGGTTTTGACTTCACTGCTGTGTGGTTGCCATCTTGACTTTGTTGATCACACTCTGCGGACATCCCTGTCTTCGATGGAAAAAATAAGCAGTCCTAATAAACTGAAAATAGTCTAAAATGAAACCAAGGGTTTGTTTTAAGAGCAAAACTTGTTAAACGTTAAAATGTTGGAAATAGACCTGGGACCATGAATATAGCAAAAAAAAAAAATATTGTTCAAAAATATCGAACAATTTTTTTTGTTATTTTGCTGCACTAAGTCTGTAGGAAAAAGAAGGCATAAAAATAAAATTATCCTTATTGGAGAAATACCCACTTTGATTCTCTTCCCTCAGTTCCATTTAGTTGTTTCCTGGCACTACCCTCCAGATCCCTTCTGAATGCTTCAATCTGCAAATTCCCCTCAAAGGAAAGCTCAAACTCATTTTGGCTGGATTGAGAAGATAACCATAGCAATTAGGTTTAATATGAGGATGGGAGACCACCAAGAAACCAGTTAGGGTTATGGTTAGAACTTCTCTTCCTTTGTATTGTCAAAAAAACCAGTCAAACAATCAGAATAGAGCTGGAAGCGTCTATGGAGACTCTCAGTCATCCAGGTCATGGTTGTCTCAAAGTGTTGTGGTTAGCCGGCAGCAGGTGCGGATGATGGAGGAGAGTGAGGACTCAGATGAGGGGCCAGGACCATTAGGGAGTGGACTGCTGCCTTCACAGAATGTAGGGGCTGGCAGCAGCGATGAGGAGGTTCCCGAGGAGCCTGTGCCAAGTGCACATGCACAAAGGATTACTCGGAGGAAAGAACAATTACAGCAACACAGGTGACTCAGGAGTAAGGCTGCAAGGTAATGGCCCCTCCTTCAAGAGGATAAAAGCCAGGTTTGAAAAAGCGTTCTTTGCAGAAGGCAAAGAAGCTCTGAAGCTCAGCCTTGTGGACATCATAGTTCGTGTTTGGAAAATCTTGTAAATTAGTTCTTATCTCTGGGTTTTTGGCAGCCTTGACAAACAACTTGGCAAGGCTTTTTCTTGTTGGTGCTAATTAGTTGGAAGCAGCCTTTTACCTGTAAAGGAACAGAATTCGTGATTAAATCTTAAAAGGTGGGTGCTGCTGCCTTTGTCTGTTTGTTCTCTTGGAACCTGGTTGGGTCAGAACACAAAGTGTTAGGGATACACCCTAGCAGAATTTGCACGGCAGTCAGACAGGCAGGCAAATATGTGAGATAAACGTTTTTGTAGCTTACACTCAGTAAAACAGATACACTGTGCTAGTTAAATAGTTTATTCCAGTAAGAGTTTTATCATAGTCAAACAGTCCATATATCATTCACTAGTTCAGTCCGTTCGGGGATTATTCAGTTGCAAAGTCCAGTGTCGAAAAAGAGGTTAGTAAACTTACAAATATCAGTCCAGTAATATATCTCCTCACAGTAGAGATATAAAGAAGTCAAACCTCCTTTCTTCCTTCGACGTTCAAAAACTCAGCAGCAGGGAACATGCAGTTAGCAAACCATCAATCCAGCATAGTCAGCAATCCAGCATGTTCTCTTGCTCCCTCTTATGGCGGTTTTACAACTGCACCCAAAATTACATGCTTTGCAGTTTAAAGTGACACACACTTAAACTTACTATCATAGTTTATATATATTATTTTACCCAAACTACGTTAGGTAACCTTGTTATTCCTAACACAAAGGTGCTTTTTTTCCAAAGGCAACTTTTCTTTGAAGACGTTTCACTTCTCATCCAAGAAGCTTCTTCAGCTCTGACTGGATGGTTCCTTCCATTCCCCACCATCCAGTCAGAGCTGAAGAAGTTTCTTGGATGAGAAGTGAAACGTCTTCAAGGAAAAACAAGGAAGTCCAGTCGCCTCTTGAAAAAAAAAAAAGCACCTTCGGAAAAGAGCTGGAAGGGACCTTGGAGGTCTTCTAGTCCAACCCCTTGCTCAAGCAGGAGATCGTATACACAGTACAAGGTGGACTTACTTTGCCGTAAACAAACAAAAGTTGAATTTGACAGGCTCCTCTTGTCTACCTCTTGGTTTTATGAGCTCATTTGTGAAAGAGTTGACAAGCGTCCGCAGGCCTTTGGGATATGGGTCATACTGCAAATCCCATAGGGCTGAGCTCGTCCTCAAGGAGGAAGGCGCTTTGTCCCTAACCGAATCTTTGGCTAGACAGTTTTCCCGCAGCCCATCTTTGAAAAAAACAAAACAAAACCCTGCCAACCCTGAAATAATCCAAATTAGTGCCTGATTCTGGACAGTCACTTGTCTGAAATGGTATAAATATGATCTCCTGCTTGAGCAGGGGTTGGACTAGAACAGTGGTCACCAATCAGTGAGCCGGGGACCACTGGTGGTCTGTGAGAAAATGTTGGTGGTCCGCAGAGAAATGTCACCCCCCCCAAAGTAATTAATCCAGGCTGCGCGGGAACACAAGGCTGCGCTGCCCACATGGCCCGTGGGAACACAAGGCTTGCATTGCAAACAACATGGGTAGTGAGGAGAGGGGGGAAAGGGTGGAGGGGGGCAACTTGCCCCATGCACCTCATGTACCCCACTAGGCTGCTTCTTTCCACTTCTTTCTTCTTCTGCTTTTGGCTGCACGCAAGGAAAGCAGCAAAAGTCTTTCTTTCTCTCCCCCAAACTCTGCCAGAAATGAGTCTTTGGGACCCTGCAAGGTATCCTGCTCCAAGAGGCTGCGCTGGTGTGACAAGTCTCACAAAGACTCATTTCTGGTGGAGTTTGGGGGAGAGAAAGAAAGACTTCTGCTGCTTCTGCTGCTTTCCTTGCATGAAGCCAAAAGTCTCTCTCTCCCCCACCCTGAGAACGGAGCTGGAGACGGTACCCTGCGATCCCAAATAAAGAATGATCGATTGGTAAGAAAACGGGGTGGGGAATTTTCCTGCAGACTTTTGGGGGGGGATTTTCCCAGGGTCTCTGGTCTGCGGGATTTAAAATTATGAGTTTGGTGGTCCCCGAGGTCCAAAAGGTTGGCAACCCCTGGACTAGAAGACCTCCATGTCCCTTCCAGCTCTATTCTGATTCATCACTGGAGATTTTAAAGAAGAGACTGGACATTCTGGACAGTCCCTCGTCTGGAATGGTATATAGGATCTCCTGCTTTGAGCAGGGGCTGGACTAGAAGACCTCCAAGGGCCCTTCCGGGTCTATTCTGATTGGGATTGGAGTTCTTGGAGAAATCCAGAAATAAGGCAAGATGGACCTTCAGCAGCTAGGCACCTCTGAACATCGGCTGGTAGCCAGCGACAAAGGGAGGGCTGTGGGTGCTCCACCACTCGCCCCTTCCAAAAACCAAAACTTTTCCCTCCCCGCCCCCCCGCTTTGAAGGTGCAAAATAAACCCGCCCTCGGGAAGCCGCCCCTGGCCGGTGATTAAAGCGCGAAAGAGTTAAAGCCACAAAGCTCCGCCTGCTAGAGAGGCAGCGCCGAGGAGGTGCCGCTGCTGGTCTTTCGGCCCTTCCAGTCCGGAGAGGAGAACGGATGGGCGGCGAGGCTGGAGCCCCAGCTGGAAGGGAGGCGTGTGACCGGCAGGTCGGGGCGAGGAGGAGGAGGAGGAGGAGGGAGCGCCGGCTGAGAGGAGAGGCGGCGGCGGCTCTTCCTGCGGCCAGAGGGTGGCTGACTGGAAGGCAAGAAGGAAAAACAAGACAGGCGCGGCGGGGCTTCCCGGGGAAGAAGAAGGTAGGGTGGGTCGGGGGAGCCGCTGGAGCAGCCGCGGGGGTTTGCCCCCCCCCCGCCTTTTTTTCCCTTTGGTTTCGCCTCCCGTTCACTCGTGCATGGCAGCCCAGAGGCTGAGCGCTTTGCCCTGCTGCAGGTGCACTTTAGCACTTAATTTTGGGGGGGTGGGCGGGTGGGGTGGGTTCAAGGGGGGAAAAATCCCTCGTGGATCTGAGATCTCGGACTCTTCCCCCCCCCGCCTGTCTCCCTCCTAATGAGGCAGCTGAGACTTCTGGCGGCGGTCTTGCGCCTGCCTGCACCGGCTTTCACCACCAGTCTAGTTTTGATAGTCGCATTTCTCGCAACGAATGAAAATGAATTAAACCAGTAGTTGTATTAATATCGTGTGTGTCAATTTGCTAGAGTTTTGTTTCCATAGCTTTGTTTGAAATGTTTGAGCTTGAGAGCGTGGGATAAATTTTTCCACCAAAAATTATCTATCTATCTATCATCTATCTATCTCTGTGTCTTCTCTCTCTCCCCCACCCACCCTACCTACCTACCTACTATCTAAGATAACCTGTCTGTCTGTCTGTCTGTCTGTCTGTCTGTCTGTCTGTCTTCTCTTTATCTATCTATCTATCTATCTATCTATCTATCTATCTATCTATCTATCTATCTATCTCTATGTCTTCTCTCTCTCCCCCACCCACCCTACCTACCTACCTGCTATCTAAGATTGTCTGTCTGTCTATCTGTCTGTCTTCTCTTTCTCTTTCTGTCTGTCTTTCATCTATCTATCTATCTATCTATCTATCTATCTATCTATCTATCTATC